ATGCCGAAGGCAGACGAGTCATATCTGCTATTGAACCTAAGTTTTTTTCAAGATTGGCTCTTAATCGGTCTATTTGTAATCGTTCCTTTTTTGAAAGTGTTTCAAATGTTCCATCTTTTTTCATCTTGTCAATGGAGTTCATTTTTTTTACCGCTTTACGAATGGTAACAAAATTGGTTAACATTCCGCCGGGCCAACGTTCGGTAATGTAGGGCATATTGATGCTTTCCGCATGTTTTGCTACAATATCCTTGGCTTGTTTTTTAGTTGCAACGAAAAGTACTTTTCGTCCGGATGAAGCTATTTTGTTTAATGCCTCGGAGGCTTCATCTAATTTTACTGCAGTTTTATGCAGATCTATGATATGAATCCCGTTTTTCTCCATAAAAATATAGGGAGCCATGTTGGGATTCCATTTTCGAGTTAAGTGACCAAAATGCACACCGGCATCTAGAAGGTCTTTTACATTTACTTTTGCCATTTTTTTTACTTTTGTTTACGTTCCGATTGTCTCATGCAACCTTCAAGTGGTCATTAATAATCGCCTTGAAAGTTTGGATGCTAAACAGCTCGGGCAAATAATTACTATTAAATAAATTAACGTTTGGAGAATTGAAATCTTTTTCTTGCTTTCTTTTGTCCGAATTTTTTTCTTTCTACCATACGAGGATCTCGAGTTAAAAGTCCTGCGGGTTTTAAAAGCGGTTTGTTTTCTTCGTTAATTAAAACCAAACATCTTGAAATTCCTAAACGAACGGCTTCTACTTGTCCGGTAGTTCCTCCACCGAATACGCTTACCACTACGTCGTATTGTCCTGTGGTGTTGGTTAGAGCAAAGGGTTGTTCCAATTTGTATTGTAATAGAGCGGTAGGAAAATAATTTTTTCCGTCTCTTCCGTTGATAGTGAATTTTCCACTACCTTCTTTCAGATAAACTCGTGCTACGGAGTTTTTTCTTCTTCCAATTTTATGAGTTACTGCCATAAAAATTAATAAAATTCATTGATGTTAAGTTCTTTGGGTTGCTGTGCTTGGTGTTTATGCTCAGTCCCTTCGTAAAGATATAAATTTTTGAATAATGCTCTTCCTAAACGATTTTTAGGTAACATTCCTTTTACTGCACGCTCCATTATTTT